GGCGTAGCCCGCCCTGTTTCAAAGACCGGGGCCGCGTTGCGGCCCAGTAATTTGAAGAGTTATTTTTCATGCCAGATATGGCTTTCCCTCGATTAAATAATATTTCATTCTGGTTATTACCTCCTTCTTTAATTCTTTTAGTAGCTAGTGCTTTCGTAGAAAACGGAGCTGGTACTGGATGGACTGTTGAAAATGGTAAGCAGTCGCCGATCTGTAAAGATCGGGCAACAAAACATCACTCGATGCGGGGAACTCCTCAATTCGGAAAGAACTACTCATCAATCATGAACCCTTTGGGGTTTAATAGATTGGCAGTAAAAATGTTCTTGACACGGGGACAATCCGCCTGGGGTAAATTAGATTATTCTACTTTATCTCATCAGAGACTAAATGTGATGCAACCTAAGAATACAGAATTTCAACAATGGCTTGTTGGTATGACTGACGGAGATGGATCTTTTTCTGTCTTACGTCAAAACGACAAGTGAACTTTAACGTTCAAAATCTCTCAAAATACTTATAACTTACGAGCTTTGTATTATATTAAACAACAATTAGGAGTAGGTTCAGTAAGTGTTGAATCGAATAGAAACATGGGTAGTTTTAGAATCAGAGATCGAAAACAATTGGCGAATATTATTTTCCCTATTTTTGATCAATATCCTCTATTAACAACCAAATATTTCAATTATGCTAAATTCAAGTCTGCATATGCTATTCTTGAAGATAAAAAATTAACTAAATCTCAAAGAAATGCACAAATTGAAACTCTATTATTGACTAAACCTGATGAATCCTATATTTCTCCGGCGACGAATAAAATAACTTTACCTATTGCTGACGCAAATGAGGCAAGTAAGGTTATTTCTAAGTCATGGTTAATTGGATTTGTAGAAGCTGAAGGTAGTTTCTATTTGGTAACTAAAGATGCCAATAGAATCGTACATGGATTTGGTATTACTCAAAAATTAGATAGAGTAGTATTAGAAGGTATTAGACATATTCTTCACATTTCCACTAAAGTTGTATAAAAAAAAAAATATAATCATCATATGATTGATACTACTAATTCTAGAGCAATTGATAATGTATCAAAGTACTTTTTCAATACTATGAAAGGTATGAAGGGTGTTGAATACAGAATTTGGTCTAGATCGTTTAATAAATACAAAGGAGACTATTCTAAACTTGTAAAAGTTCAACAAGTATTACGAAAATTAAGAACAGTTAAAGCAGATAATACATTGTGGACTTCTAAATCTTAGGTTGAAGGTATAGTCCGAACAATGGCGAGAGCCATTGAGTATAACGATAGAACCCTCTTTAGGGTTTGAGGTTATCAACATTAATGTTACCCTCCATTATCAGGTATTGCTTCTCACTCTGGTGGATCTGTAGATTTAGCTATCTTCAGTCTTCATTTATCAGGTATTTCTTCTATGTTAGGAGCTATGAACTTCTGCCTCTTAGGCGGATGCTACGGGACATCTATTATTAAAGTGCTTATGGGCTTTGCCCAAAAACAACAATTAAATATCCATAATTATTTAGTTCGATTTAGTTCGTCGCATTATCACACTAGGTCAAACAATTCTGAGACTGGTGAAATCCCTTCACCTTCAGAAAATTCAGAACAACCTAAAAAAAACAAACAAAGTTGGTTAACTTCTTTAAATAAAGAGATGAAGGAAAAATTTCAATTGGCAAAAGATTTTATGCAAACAAATAAAAAAGCTAATGCGGATATTATCAATAAACTTCTAGGTTCTAATATTTCTGATACATTCTTACAGGATATGTTAAAAGGACCTCAAATTCTTTTTACTGATCTTAGTAATCGAAAATCTTTAATCAAAGTTATCTCTAAAACAGGTAAAGACTTTGGTTCTTTGGCCGGAATTTATATTTGGACGCATGTTCCTTCTAATAAAAAGTATGTTGGATCTGCTACTCATCTCCCAACACGTTTACGAAGTTACTTTTTAAAGACAAAGAATACCGGTAAATTGATTACTATTCTAAATAAGTATCCTCTTTCGGAATTCAATTTAGAAGTAAGATTTCCTCCTTATTCTAGTCATTTTAAAAATGAAATGGTACTTGAACAATACTTTCTTCTTGACAAATCTTTTAATTTGAATACAATTCGAGTTTCAAATAATCCTAGTGGTTCTAATTCAAAATCATTATTTATATATAATAGAGATTTTTCTATTTTATATTATAGTAGTACTAAACAAATTGATTTTGTCAGAAAGTTAGGTATTCATCATACTACTTTCACCAAACATCTTAATAATGGAATTTATTATTTAGATAAATAAGTATTTTCAAAAAATTTTGTCGCAACAGCACAAAAAGTTGATCTAAGTATGTTTGATCTATTAAATATGTTAGAAATCAGATCGAGTAAAGTTTAATATTAACAAACCTGTTAACAGTCTAAGTACTTCAGTTATTTTAATTGACGCTTTTACTCAAGAGAAACATTTATTCTTGAGTTTAGGAAGTGCTCTTAAATTTCTTAAGAATAAAGGCCATCGGGCGGATCAACGAACTTTAGTAAAACGA